ATATCTTTCTGTATTACCTTCAATGCCATCTTCATCCAATTTCTTAATCAAATCACCAAACCAGCCTCTACCCCCTTCCCGTTTGCTTTGTTAGCCTCTCTCCTCCACCGTTAGCTGCTCCTCTCCTCTCGCCACCGGCTCACAGCAAATCTCCATACATAGAATGGATGCTCCTCTCGGTTTCTCTGATTCCGTCCGTTTTTTCTTATAGTTTTTCCGCTTCTTTCAAGGTTTCGGAGAATGAAGAGACGCCAGCCTGCCAGGCGCCTCTCCCGAACGTTCCTCCACAGCAGATTCCAAGCCTTGGACGTGGAGTCCCGCCTTCAGGCCTTCGATGATGCTAACAGCTAGCTAGCGTCGGCTGGTAATGGCGGCGTCCAGTTTTTTTCAGATACAAAATTTTAATTAATTCTATCAGTTCTGTGCTGTTTCCATGAGAACTGGACCATCTGCTGTTCCCTGAGGGACCTGGGGGTCCTGGTGGTCCTGGAGGTCCTTGAATAAATATGGTAATTATTTTACCTTCAGTTGTTAAGGAAATGCTGTATAAATCAAAAAGTAAATGTGACTTTGCATCATAGCCTACCTAGACATTTTTACGTTGGCCTCTGTCTTTTTTAAAAACTCCTACCACTTCTGACACTCCCACTTCAGCACATCTTCACAGCAATGCTTTGGAGGAGGGGTGCTCTGTGGGGCGGGAGCACGACTGCAGACTGAGCTCCAGGGAGGAGCTTTGTGGAAATGGGCGGTGCTTTGTACCAGCAGGGAGCTCCACATGGTTCCACAAGTGATTCAAGGATTTCTCAAACATGCAAATGAGTCAAAGCAACACTGTGGCCCAACCCCACACCCCCAGTCAATTCTAAACTGTGCTCTAAACTTATAAATTACAATCGATTACAAACTATTAATCTGTTTTGCAGCAAGAACGACAAAATAGTTTCACACCAACTCTGTCAGGCCAAACGTAATAAAAACTTGCCATTCTCATTATGTTTAACATAATGCAACATTTCAAAGAACAGCTTTTAATTTCTGTTTTTATTTATTTATTTTGCGCAGCATTTTGCTTTCATTGAAAAGGGATTCTGCTTTTTGAAAAGATCAGTTACTTGTCGGCTTGAGATGGAAACAGAATACCTTCACTTCTGGTGGGGGACAGATGGTCAGACACTGAGTGGGGGCTGTGTGTGCATGAGAGAGTGATTGAGTGATAGTGATGGACAGATAGCTAGAAAAGGAGAGGATGCAGCTGCAGGCTGGCTTTATGACTTTATGATAGGGGTTCAGGAGTAGATGTGGGGGGGAAGGGGTTTGAGCCTAAACTACAACACAATAACCATTCGGAAATACCCACATACTTAAAAATTAAAGACAACAAATAGAACCATTGTTTAGAAATGTTGCAGGATCATCTTCCTGCCTCCACAAATTGTGTGAAAGTGAGAGAATGGTTGTCTCATTTACCTCTGTGTGTCCCTGTGTTGGACATGTGATCTGTCCAGGGTGGACCACGCCTCTCACACAGTGACCACTGGAGGTATGCACCTGGTCCCTGTGGCACGAAAAGGAAAAGGAAGGTAACAAAAATGAATGTTTGCATGGATACATGTATGGATGGTTCCTGAGCACATCAGTGAAAAAATAGCGGCATTTCAGGATCTCACATTAAAGTGTAAAGATTTGTATACATCCATCTTTACACTGTCTTTAAAGGCGCAATATCATGTAAAATCAACTTTTTTGAGTTTTATATCATGTTATAATGTTATAMTCTCATAAAAAACATGCCCAAAGTCTTGCTTTGACTCATTCATGCATGTTTGAGAAATCCTGCAGCGTTTTTACACAGCCGTGCTGAGGAGCAAAACGACAGGTGGGGACCAGAAACACCTTTGGGACGTGTCTTTAAGCCGAACTTCCTCATGGCAGAGCGCCCCCCCCCCTCCCCATACACCCCGCCCATGACTCCTGCAGGCTCTCGGGTCAAAGTGAAAGTGAAACCTAACTGTCTGCTGAGCTCTCAACATTAGTTCTCACTCAGTGAAGCTCTTTTCAGATTAAAAAAAACCTTTGAGGAAATGTATTTTCTGATGCCAAGTAAATTGCATCATAGCGCATGGGCATCTACCCTTTGAGGAAATGTATTTTCTGATGCCAAGTAAATTGCATCATAGCGCATGGGCATCTACCCTTTGAGGAAATGTATTTTCTGATGCCAAGTAAATTGCATCATAGCGCATGGGCATCTACCCTTTGAGGAAATGTATTTTCTGATGCCAAGTAAATTGCATCATAGCGCATGGGCATCTACCCTTTGAGGAAATGT